GCTCTAACTACTGAGCAAAACCAGCCAGGGTGGCAAGCCCTCTTTTTATATGTACGGGTGTCAGAAAAGCCCAATGACCCCAAGTCCACAGCTGCTGCGTAGCAGAGCCTAGGGCTGCCTGTGATGTCCAGACTTTTCACACTGTACCCCCAAGACACAGACCCTGAGCAGCCCCCAAATAGCAAGGCGCTGTACCCCAAGAGAGCCAGACTCTACACCAGTGGCTCCCAAACTTTTAAATTTCAGGACCCTGTTACTCTCATAAAATCATTGAGATTTACTGTGTTTGAAATAAAAACCAAGAACACATGCTGAAGTCCATTAATTCATTTACAATGATAATAAACCCATGTTATGTTAACATAAATATTTTATAGGGAAAAACTCGTATTTTACCAAGCAAAACACATTTAGTGAGAAGGGTGGCGTTGTTTTATACTTTTGCCAATCTCAGTGGCCAGTGTAATAGGAGTCGGCTAGCTTCTCTTATCTGCTGCTACATTCAGTCTGCTCCTGGTATCACATGTCCTGTGGCCTCGGCAGAGCTCTCCTGAATGCCCACAGGGAAGCTCGTGAAACAGCTTGTGACTTCTAACAATTACAAAAAATGTTCGAACTTCACTGATCTCTTGAAAGTAGCTTAGAAACTCTGGGGTTCCCAGGCTGTCTTTTGAGAACTTCTGTGCTATACAGATACCAAAGGGAACCATTTTCTGCTCTCATCACCCAAGTGGCCCCTGTTACGACACTGGGGGGGCAGAGTTGTCTGAGGCTCAAACCCAGGTGTTGCGCTGTTCAGATGAGGGGTTGGATCTCGGCCCTCGCCCTGAGCCATGTAACCCGGGGCCAGGAGCGTGGCTTGTTCCCCAGCTGTGTTTAAGCAGCGCCCTTCCCTCTTGGTTATGAAGGTGCTATATGCTCCCTGCTAAACCCCCAAACAGAACAGACACAGAGAGTTAAGTGCGGGAGGGAGCTCCCTCCCAGCCCCTGTTGCTAGATGAGAGCAGTGGCTGTACTGACTATTCGGTGTGTGCACATTGCGTGTGTGTGTGTGCGCGTGTGCACGTGCATGTATGACAGTTAGAAAAATGCACTCTATTTAAGTTCAGCCCTGTTATTTTCAGGTATCATTTATTGACATCCTTGGGAGTGAGGAGGACGTGCTTGTTCATCTTTTGCCCATTTTTCTACCAGATCACCTGCCTTTGCCTTATCGATCTGTAGGAGTTTGTTTCTTACCCTGGATATGAGTTCTCCGTCAGCTCTAATATCTCGCTGACTCAGGGAAAATCACACCCTCAACTTATTCTTTAAAACCGGGACAAAAATACGTTTGGTGGAAAAACTAAATGAGATAGACAAGGAATTCTTGTTATAAACTACAGAGTGCTACACAAATAGGAATTTATATTACCCAGCAGTTTTCTGTGCAAACAAGAATGTAGACATAGTTAGATCTATGGTTATCTGTTCCTTCTTAATAGCTTCACAAAAGCAAAGAGAAAGTGTTGGGAGCTCTGCAGAATACTGTGGAGTAATGGCTGTGGAAATGTGAGATAGCACATTACACATTACCAAAGGAGTTGTACTCGAAGGCCAATGCACAGCTATTCTGGGAGATTGATCTTTAAAAGCATAGGTACTTAAAGTGTACTTTAAAAAAATATTTTTATTGATTTTTAGAGAGAGTGGAAGGGGGGGGTAGACAGAGAGAGAGAAATATCAATCTGCTGCCTCCTGCACGCCTCCTACTGGGGATGGAGCTCACAACCCAGGCCCTGACCAGGAATTGAACCTGCAACCTGAGCTGCTGGCTCCCAGTCGGAGACCCTGGTGAGTCAGGAGGCAGCCCCAGCCCAGTGCTGCCGGCTTGGCCCTGGCTTTGAGCAGAAGGGAGGAGGGTGTGAGGCAGGGAAGGCTGGGGAGGGGAGGAGCATTGAGGCCTTTAAGGGCACATGGTATACATGGTGGGTGTGGGGATTCTAGCCTTTTGGTTTTTTAGGATCATAGTTTGTGTACAGGGAAGGCTTATCCATAGGACTCTGCCCCTGTCCCTCTGGGTAAAGCCTGTCTCCTTGTCATCTGCAGCAGTGCCATGTTCCTGTCCTCTATGATCCTGTCACTGTTTGTGATTATAGTGTATCACTGTTGAACTGTGTGATCCCCCCACCCCGTGAGCTCAGGAACAATGTCTGTTCAGATCCCCCTGTACCTGTCATGCTGACATACTGCCTCAAACAGAAGTATTCCATCACCATTTGCTGAATAAGTGAATGAATGAATGAATGAAAGAGTGAATGAATGAGTGAGTGAATGAGTGAGTGAGTGAATGAACTATAGCTTGTGGAAAGAGCACGTGTGTGCACTGAGGCCCGTGGACTTGAGTCCTTGCATTGTGCAGCTGGCAGACAGAGAGCCCCATCAGACTGTGTTGGGGGTGGGTGTGCATCAGCTTGGGCTCCTATAACACCACCACCACCACAGACAGAGCAGCCAAAACAACACACATTTATCTCTCACCTTCTGGAGACTGGAGTCCAAGGTCAGGGGGCTGGCAGGTGTGGTGTCTGGCAAGGACCTGCCTCCTGGTTCATAGACAGCTGACTTCTCACTGGCGCTTCACATCACAGAAGGGGCTAGGGAGCTCTCTGGGTCCCTTTCATAAGGGCACTAATCCCAGTCATGAGGGCTGCACCCTCCTGACCTAATCACCCAGCAAAGGTCCCACCTCTGGATACTATCACAGTGGGAGTTAAGTTTCGACACTGCACACTGGGGTGGGAAGGAGGTGAGACACCTTGTCATGGAGAGACTGAGAGCTGAGAGACTGAGCCAGCAAGTGGGTGTCCCTGGGTTGGGAGGGGAGGAAGGGGGCCTGCTCTGGGAATGCAGACAGCAGCCTGGCTGCTGGTTCTGTGGGCGCGCCCTCCCGCACCCCCACCTGGCATCGGCACTCTCAGATGGTGACTGCCGGCTGCGCTGTGTTGATTACAGTTTGAAATGCCGTACTCGGTCCCACGCTGCTGTGCTCCACAGAAATCCCGTTTCGCTCTAATGAGGTTTCAGTCAGAATGCTGGAAAGAAGAAAGCCTTTTAATTAGATCGGTGGTAATCAAACTCCCAAACCACAGAAGCCTTTCTCTGAGAAGATGAAGACACCGATGCAATTAAAAGGAAGAGAGCCACCTCCGTGGAACACTGGCTAATTTTAAATCCTTTAAAAATAACAAATCCTTAAAAAAATCAAGGCAACGGATATATGTCCTGAAAGAGATTCTCGGGGCTTTCAAGTAATATTGGAGATGGAACTGGTTGGTTCTGGAGGACTCTGCAGGGCAGTTTGCTCAATAGAGTATGGAGAAAGGTTAGCTCTACAGCTTTTTCCATCAAAAACCTTGGCATGGTTTAATTTGCAAAATGGAATGGTTTGTGTGTTTTACTGTAATCAAATTGGCAGCTTCTTCTAGGCAGTCCCCAGCCTGGGACCCTCAGGGGTTTATCCATTGTCCGTCTCCAGGCAACCTATTCTCTCTGCAGAATTCATAACCCCCTGAACCCCTACCTTACCTCTCAAATGTGCCCAGGGTGTAAGTGCCTGGGGCAGGGACACTCATGCCTCGGCCTCTGCAAATCCCTTACACATCCAACCCATTTTTATTTTTTTTAAAGATTTTTAAATTGATTTTGAGGGAGAGAGGAAGAGAGAGAGGGAGAGAGAGAGAAACATCGATGTGAGAGGGACACATTGACCAGTTGCCTCCTTCACAGCCCCTACTGGGGAGGGAGCCTGAAACCTGGGCATGTACCCTGACCGGGAATTCAATTGGCAGCTTTTTGGTGCATGGGAAGACGCCCAACCAACTGAGCCACACTGGCCAGGGCTAATACAGTATTATTTTAATGAGAAGCTGCATCCATTTCTCATTTGTATCCATGTCCTCTGACCACGCCCCAGGAGATGCCCTGTTCTCTCTGCCATGGCTCTGTGTCCTCGAATGCCATCAGTGACCCAGGCCAGACAATTCCTGGGCCTGTCTGCATGGGATGATTAATAAGTGCTTTCTCCTGGAGAGGGTGGAGAGTGCTAATCTGCAGAGTCCTCTGGGTAGGAACTGAGCACTAAATACTGCTGAACAGTCTGGCCAATGTGGCTCAGTGGTTGAGTGTGACCCATGCACCAGGAGGTCACCAGTTTGATTCCCAGTCAGGGCACATGCCCAGGTTGTGGGGTCCATCCCCAGTTGGGGTGAGTGCCAGAGGCAACTGATCGATGTTTCTCTCTCATATTGATGTTTCTCTCTCTCTCTCTCTCTCTCTCTCTCTCTCTCTCTCTCTCTCTCCCCTTCACCATCTCTCTGAAATCAATAAACATACCCTTGGGTGAGGATTTTTTAAAAAATTAAACTGTGTACTCAATTTAATTTTTTAAGTATGTAAATTATTTTTATTTTATTTTTAAAAAATATATCTTTATGGATTTCGGAGAGAGAGGAAGAGAGAGAGAGAGAGAGAGATAAACATCAATGATGAGAGTCATTGATCAGCTGCCCCCTGCATACCCCTGACTGGGGATCGAGCCTGCAACCCGGGCATGTGCCCTGACCGGGATCAAACCACGATCTCCTGGATCCTAGGGTTGATGCTCAATTGCTGAGCCATGCCAGCCGGGCTGTAAATTATTTTTAAAACAGAAAAATAAACCAAACCATTAGCAGGAGTCACCTCTAGGTGGTGGAGTTGTAGGGTTTTAATTTTCTCTCTTATCCTTGTCAGTCTTTTGCAAGTGCTCTGTAATAAATGTGTATTACCCCAGAATGAAGAGAAAAGCTTGCCTCTGGGAAAACTTAATGCTGCTCAAGTATGCCTGGAAGTGCTTGGTGCCTTCTGATCCCGACACGTTCCCGCAGCCCTGGTGGTCAGACTCCTCTGTGACAGTGTCATTCCCTCTGCTGGAGACCAGATAAGCCATAGTTACAGGTTTTTTATCTTTTCCTTTACAGGACGAGAAGAACCAAGTTCTAACCACCAACATCTGGCTGCAGATGGTAAGTGGAGGCAATGGATGTCCCCACTCTGGCCGAAAAGGGCGCTAATCCCCTTCTCGGGACTCCACCCTCATGACCTAATCACTCCTGAAGGCCCCGCCTCCAGTAACCTTACATTGGGGTTAGAGTTCCAGCATCGGGACTTCAGGGGCAGACAGACGTGCCGTCCACAGCACCGGCTTCATTGTGCTCCCAAAGCACTGGTCACCAGGCACATCCTTTTTACTGTTCATTTGTCAGTGGCTCCGAGTCTCCCGCCACCCTCTAGAATGTGCCCCAGGAGGGCAGGGCTCTCTTTGGATTTGTTTACTACTCTTCCGAGCTCCTAGCCCGCTGCAGACCCTGAGTGCCTCTGTGCAGTGAATGAATGAAACAGTGCTCCAGGTAAACCTGGGAGGGGCTAAGATACGGTGAGACAAAGTCAAGCCACTTCCCAAATCATATTTGAGCGCTGTGGTGTGAGATAAAGCTCTAGGAATTCTGGGGGGTGATGTAAATGCTCCCTTGTCTACGTAAAACAGGACATTTCCTGTTCCCTCTAAAATAGAGAGCTGGTGTTGATGTTGTTATAGAGAGAGACACCTAATATGCTCATGGCCATAGGCAGGTCCATCCCCCTGGTGCCTATATTTCTTACCCCTCAATAAGCGATTGATCTTCAGCAACATATAAAATTTGGTGCCCTGGTCAGTGTGGCTCAGTTGGTTGGAGCCTTGTTCTGTACATCAAAAGGTTGCAGGTTCAGTTCCAGGTCAGGACACATACTTAGGTTGTGGGTTTGATCCCCAGTCAGGGCGTGTAGGGGAGGCAAGAAATGGATGTTTCTCTTTCACATCGATGTTTTTCTCTCTCCCCCTCTCCCTTCCTCTCTCTGTAAAAACCAATGAAAACATACCCTCAGGTGAGGATTTAAAAAAAAAGATTGAGCACTTTTTTGGGAAGGGTGCTGGTTTCCGGGAGAAGTTTGTAACCAGACTGTCAGTTGCTCCATAAATAAGCAGTCCTGTTTGGGAGGGATCACCAGAGGCCTCTAAATCTCCACGCGCAGCGCAGTTCCAATTAAGACTTGTGACTCCTTAAAATGCAGCAGTGTCCTCCGCTTCATTTGCTTTAAAACTCACCTCTTTGGTCGCATTTCCTCACGCAGCTCGTCTTTCCGAGCACATGCGAGGGGGGCACTGATGTAGACCGTATGAGGGGGGGCCCTGGAATGGGTGAGATGCAGTTTCTGCGTCTAGGCCACTTCAGTCAGGCTGTGTAACTGAGAGCCTAAAAAAGGTTAAACTGTCCAGACCAAGTGACTCCCTGGAGGTGTCATGGAGGCAGGCTTGTGTGTGAACAGCCCAGAGCATCAGTGTTTCCAGATGTGGCATCACTAATACCTGCTCACAGGGGCCCACCATGTGGAACCCCTGCCAGGTGCCCCCTGTAGCTATATGGCAGCTGTGACACTGACTCCCGACTGGATTTTAAGGAGTCACAAGTACCTTGGGATTAGGATGGACCTTAGTAGCCATCTAATCAAAACCTCTGCTGCCCCCCCCCCCC